TGTCTTGCCAGGTGTGGTGGCTCATGCCTGTAATCCCAGTACCTGGGAGGCTGAGGCAGGAGGATCCTTACAAGTTTAAGACCAGTCTGCGCTGCAAAGTGAGCTCAAGGCCAATATAAACTGCGTAGTGAGACCCTGTCTCATAAAGACCAAAAAAAAAAAAAGCTTAGGTGTCTTCACTAGTTGCGTTCATCTTTCAATTCCCTTCACTGTCTACTGTGCCTATAGCATCACCTCATGAGTGCAACCCCCACTCACCTGGTGAGCTGCAAAAGGAAATGGTCACCAAGTCACTGTCCAAATCACAGCCTTGTGTGGAGGACACGCAGGGACTCTTGCCCGCACTCATGGCCCATGCTGTAGAGTCAGATAATTTATAGGTAGAAATGCAAGACCAGGAGGGGGCAGTCCAACAGGAACCTCAGAGATTATAAATCTATAGTTGCTGTAGGAGCTAGGGAGGCACTAACCTTTTCCAGCACAATGCATATAACAACTCTGTTCTCTTCCTAGAATGTAAGCCCCGAGGCTTTCGACGGAGATTCCGTCTTACTCCAAAAAGAGTGGCCATCATCAAGAAATCAGTAACAAATACTGTTAGGTGTGGTGGCATACCTAACACTTGGCAGCCTGAGGCAGGAGGACTAAAACTAGAGATTTCATTCAACCCAGCCATTCCCCTTGTAGGTATATTCCCAAAAGAGTTAAAGACGTCACATTAGTGGGGTGTGGTGGCATGGGCCTACAATTCCAATACTCAGGAAGCAGAGGCAGGAGGACTGCCTGGTCTACATGGGGAGTTCAAGGTCAGCCTGAACTACATAGTGAGACCTTGTCTCAACAACAAAAAACAAAAAGTCATTATGTTACACTGACACACACTGCATACTCATGTTTATAGCTGTACAACTTATAATAGCTAAATGTTGGAAGCAGCCCATATAACCATTGCAGATGAACACATAAAGAAATGTGGTATTTATACATAATGTAGAACTACTCTGCTATAAAGAAAGATGAAGTTCAGTCACGTGTAGGGAATGGATGTACCTTGAGACCATGATGTTATGTACAATAAGTCAGACAAGCTTAAATTTTGCATGGGTTCTCTTATATGAGAAACCCCAAATAAAGATCATAGGAAACAGGAAGATAGATCTTTTGCAAAAGGGAGGTGTATGAAGAGATGGAGGGAGTGGGAAGGAGGAAAGAAGCAGATTAAAAAAAAAGGTATGTGCATGTACCCAGTCTCCATGACGAATATAATCATCATGCACTGTAAGCAGGTAGTTAAAAACAGGAGAGACTGCTAGGATAGTATCTTCTCAGTGTGTCTGGATGCCTCAGGCTTTAGCAGCCTAACAGCAGAACCTTAAACAGCGAGGCTGACTATGGGAAATTAAATTAGGGGACTTTTGTGGGTTCCAAGTGTGTGCCAGGACTTTCCTGTCTCACTTACCACTGAATTTCTTAGACTCTGTTGCTTCCAACTATGAAAAATGGTTTTGAGGGTAGGGGGCAGTGTAGGAAACTGTCCTTGTCTTTCTTTTGGATTCCTGTATTGCTCGTGTGTGTGTGCGCGTGTGTGTGTTACAGATCCACAAATGGTGTACGGCTGTGTCTGTGGCAGGGACAGCTGCTGGATGATGAGAGGAAAGAGGTGCGCTCAGGACCCGAGGAGGTCACATTAACAAAGATTAGTGGCCTGAACTTTCAGCCCCAGTCAGGGGTTGTCCCAGAAACCATCCTTGTGTTCCTGCCTCACAGGGAAGTTCTGGGACCTTCTTGTCTTCAGCGCAGTCTGGAAAGAGACCACCCAAGCTAAACACTCTGCTGCAGTCAGACAGACATTCCTGGAGGTGAGCTCTGGCTGTGAAGTCACTACAGGCTGCAGGGCAGCGCCAGATGCTGTGCTATGAAGCCTGCCTCAAGGCAGCAAGGCCAGAAGACAGTGTTAGCGCATGAGGGAAAGGGCCCACCACCTCCCCTGGGTATGAGGGCCCCGTAACTTGGGCAGCAACAGCCCTTGCCATGGTGCTCAACACTGAGATGACACTGTGGACTGGCGAGGAAATCATGACCCTGTCGGGAGCCTGAGGTCCCTATGAACGCTGCCTTCTCCCTGCGGCAGTCACGCTGACTCCAGCTCCTCTCCTCCCTTCCGTGTTGAAACAGCATTGTGGCCATTCCACCCCCTACACCCAACAGATTAGCTTTACAGAGCTAACGTTTTTATAAACTGGGCAGATTTTCAGTTCTTCCGTTTCTTTTCATACTGGGCTCCAGATGGAGGAGTTTTAGGGAAGACACACAAGAACTATGACTACATCTGAAACTCCAGAGTGTGAACTATGACTCCCAGTGACCCCAGAGTTGACCTTGGCCCACCAATTAAAGTAGAGAAGCTATCAAGTGACATGTGTCTCTCCCCCTGGAAGCAGATGAGTTTCTGTCTGGCTTCAGAGCATCACTCAGGGCCTCTGCCAAGGATGGGGTCCTGCTAGAGCCAACAGAGAGAGGACCCCAAGCACTCAGTGCTGGGACAAGAACAATGTCACAAGGTTTCACACAGAAACCTGATGCCAGAGAACATTCCATAAAAGGAGGACCATGTTTAAGCTAAATGGCCAGGGCTCAAAAAAAGTGGGTATCACTTCACTAGCCTCTATTCCTGGGCTTGGGTTGGATTACCTATGGGGTTGGAGTGGGCTGGGGGGTCTTTGGGTCCCTCCCAGTCTCTTTTATGTGAGATAAAAACTGAGAGCCAGCCATAGCAATGTCAGGACCCTGGGGAAAAGGAAGCATGGAGATGAGTGTGGAGAGAATTTTTTTTAGATCTTTGCCTGATGACCTGAGTCCTTAGGGATTTTCAAAATATTTATCCCTGAATTCATAGAGAACAAAACTATTGTTCTAAACCAGGTGTAGTGCTGCAGGCCTGTAATCCCAGCACTCAGGAGGCTAAGGAAGGAAGAGTCCCTGAGAGTTCAAGACCAGCTTGGGCTACTAAGTTCAAGGCCAAGTTGAACTATATAGTAAGATCCTGTCGCAAAAAAACCAAAACCTGGGGCTGGGGATTTAGCTCAGCGGCATAAGCACCTGTCTTGTAAGCAGGCAGTTGTGAGTTTGATCCCTGGTACCGATAAAAAGGAAAAAGACAAAAAACAAACAAACAAACAAAAAAACAAAACCAAAAAATACAAAAACAAAAAGCTATCAATCTAAACTAAATAGTCAACATCTCTTACTACCAACTACCAAGTTTTCTCCTGGAATGTGTGACACTAATGGGTTTCTTTAGACACTAATTTTTCATTTGATTTTTTTTGTGGGGGACCAGAAATCAAACTCAGGACCTTATGCTTTCCAGGCAGACACTGTGCCGCTGAGCTACATCCCCAGCCCTACTCACCAATTTTGAATGTCATGACAGGTCTAACCTACACAGAGAAGCAGAAAAGTAGGGAAAAGCCCACATCCCACAGAGCAGCCCCTGTGCAACACTTCCAGGCTGAGTGGTGACAGCTGCAGCCAGGCACTGCCCCTGGGCCCCGACCAGACAGGGAGCCTCCTGCTCAAGGTGGACACCTGCCAGAAAGAGAACTTGTCTCAGGGCCAAAACAGAGGAGGCGGGCCATCCGCGTGGGCCCCAACCAAGCTGGTGGGACATCCAGACCAGGGCGGTATCACTGCCTACCGAGCAGCAGTCATAGAGCCACAGTCACATTATGACATTGCTCTGCTTTAGGGGACAGTTACTTTTCATTCTGCATAGTCTTCGCAGCTATTTGTGTGCTTTTAAAGCAACTACCTGTTTTCTTAAGAAAAAACTTCCTTGGGGCTGGGGATTTAGCTCAGTGTTTGCTTTGCAAGCTCATGGTCATGAGTTCAATCCCTGGTACCAATAAAAAAAACAAAACAAAACAAAACAAAAAACCAAGAAACAAGAAAAAACTTCCTTTCATCTTACTCAACGATCCTTGCTGGCATAATGTCCCTATTTTGGGGAAGTCTTCCCTGCTGGCCTCCTCCAAAGCCAGCCTCCCCGCCAAATCTTTATCACATGTTCTGCCGAAAGTCTGAGCCACACTGACCACAATGTGAAATCATCAGTGTTTCTATGTACTAATTTATTCTTCATCTTTTCCTATTAGGATGTCACCTCCATGAGATCAGAGGCCTCATCTGCCTTGATCACAGTGACTTCCTAGGGCCTAAAACACTAAAGACCTAGTGAAGGTGCTCACTAATATTTTAAATAACCGAGTATATGGCTGATGTAGTGGTACCTGCTATAATCTCAACACTCAGGAGGGCTGAGACAGGCAGATGGCAACTTCAAGGCCTGCCTGTGCAACTTAATGACTTAATGGGACTTTTCCTCAAAATACAAGAACAAAAAAACAGCTGGTGGTACCCAGTTCCACAAAAAATAAACAACTGAATATGTGGCATGTACTAGAAGTCACAGTGTTCACCTTCACTCTGCAAACCAGATAAAATGAGGGGCTGGAGGCATAAGCGCCTGCCTTGCAAGCAGGCAGTCGTGAGTTCGATCCCCGGTACCGATAAAAAGGAAAAAGAAAAAGAAAAAAACAAAAAACAAACAAAAAAAAAATAGATAAAATGAGCAAAAACAACACTACAACAGAGATTCCATTCACCAGAGGCTTGAACACACACATTTCTCTGAAAGTTTTCCTCAGCTGATCTTGGCGTGGGCTTTTTTGGGTGCATACACAGGTACACATATAACTTATCTGACCTGCTCCTAGTTTTGTAGAAAGGTTTAGAGGAACACAGTCACACCCATACATGTGTGGTTGCTTTTGAGTTACAAGAGCAGAACCGAGTAGTTTCAACAAAGATCAAAATACTTATTGTCTGGTGTTTTTTTGATACTGGGGCTCGAACTCATGACCTCGCACTTGCCAGGCAGGCACTTATGCCCCTGAGCTGTATCCCCAGGCCTACCATTTGATCTTTTAAGAAAAAGTTTAGTGCTGGCTTTGGAAGCACACATACTAAAAGTTAGAGTGATACAGAGAGAATTAGCGTGGCCCCTGCACAAGGAGGACATACAAATTTGTGAGGCATTCCATATCTTTATGGCCATGATTCTGTTGGTAAGATTGTTTTCTTGAAAGAAAGAAAGAAAGAAAGAAAGGAAAAAAAAAAAAAGAAAAAGAAAGAAAGAAAAAAAGAAGGAAAGACACCAGCCTGGACTGAGAAGTAGTAGTTTTATCCTGCCTCAACAAAACAAAACACTCCCAAGACATTTAAAACAAACAAACAAACAACCCACTCCCCGCCCTCCTCTAGGGAGGATGCTATTCAGTAGAGCCACATGCCAATCCCACATGCTAACACTGTCCTAAGCTTAGACATTTCTGTTTAGCGGTGAACAAGCTAGCAGCCACAGGCTATATGAGCAGCACCTAGGACGTTTCAGCTACTAGCTTTCTTTCCAGAACACTGGGAAATTGTTTTTCATTGTTACCTTTTTTTGTTGTTTTATTTTTTGAGACAGGGTCTCATGTGGCCTCAAATTTAAGGTGATTCTCTTGCCTCCGCATCCCCAATGCTGGGAATTACAGGCATGTGCCACCATTCTTGCCATCATTGTTGTTCAAATGCACTATTAAACTCTCTAGTTCTCTTTAGTCCCCAAGAATCCGTATAAGAGCACAAGTTCCTCTGGATTCAAGTTAGATAACACTGATTTCAGCTTTTTTTTTTTTTTTTTTTTTTGAGGCAGGGTCTTGCTAGGCAGTTTAAACTGGCCTTGAGCTCACTTTGTGACCCAGGCTGGTCTTGACCTCAAAATGATCCTCCTCCGTCAGCCTCTCAAGTGCTGGGATTACAGGTGTGTGCCACCATGCTCAGCCTAACACCTACTTCAGTTAAATGATGAAATAAATGTGGTGTGGAAGTAACTGAACTCAACAGTACTGCTTGGTAAACTGGGCATGGTGGCACCCACCTGTAATCCCAGCACCTTGGAAGCTGATCTAGGAGGATCGATGCGAGCTCAAGGCCAGCCTGAGATACAAAGTGAGTTGAAGACCAGCCTGAACTACATTGTGAAATCTGTCTCAAAAAACCAAAAGCAAACAAACAACAAAACAAAACAAATCCTGAACCATACTGCTTGAGGAGAGTGAGTACCCTACCCTTATAGGTCAGTGATAGCAAACCTTTTAGAAGTGTCAGTAACAACAAACCGCCAGCAATGCTATGCGTACCACTGACTGGCCACCACTGATGTAGGCTTTTGGGAAAAAAAAACGGAGAGTTGGGGGGCGATGGTTATGTTCTGTTTCTCCATTTGGGTGCTGGTTATGTGGTTGCACTCACTTTGTGAAACACATTAAATAAACTATACAGTTAGGATGTTTGCATATATATATATATATATATATATATATATGCATACATATTCTTTTTTTTTTTTTTTTTAGTCTCATGTAACCAGCCAGCCTCAAACTCCTATCCTCCTGCCTCAGCCTTCCTAATTCTGTGATCCCTCTGCCTCAGCATCCCTAGTGTTGGCATTACAGGAATGGCACCACCATACCTGGCTCCATAAGTACTTCTTTGCAGAAATAGATATCTCATTTTCTTCAGGAAACATCCTTTAAAAAAAAGCAGTAAAGCTGGGCATGTGTAATCACTGAGTTCAAGGGCAGTCTGGGTTACATATTGAGACCCAGCCTAAAAAAACAAAACAAGATGAAAACCCACAAATCAAAAAAGTGCTTCATTTTAATAAAAAGAAGCAGAAAGGATAATTTATGGGTGGCTAAAAGGCAGAAAAAGTCAAAGAACTCTGTTTTTTGCTTTTTGTTTTTGAGGTTTTTTTAAGACAGGGTCTCACTATTTAGCCCAAACCAGCCTTGAATTCACTATGTACCCCAGGTTGGCCTCAAACTTGCAGTGACCCGCCTGCCTTGCTTCCCGAGTACTGGATTACAGGCATGTGCCATCACACCCAGCAAAAAGTCAAAGAACTCTGAAGACAAAATTAGGTGAGACTGGCATTTGAGAACAAATCTGACCTCAAGAATGCTGGTCTACTCACAGTGTCTGCTGCTCTTAACAGAACTGACTCCTATTAGAGGTAGATACTCTCATTCAGAAAACCAAACACACTTTGTGACGCAAGAATTATATGGTGTGTTGTGGTACATACAGCTAATCCCAAAACTTGGGAGCTTGAGGCAGGAGGATTGCTGCAAGTTTAAGTGCAGCCTGGACTACAAAGTAAATCCAAAGCCAGCCTGAACTGCACAGCAAAATCCTGTCTCAGCCCCCTGACTCCAATCGTACGGCAGCTGTCTGAAACAATCATACAAATAAAATGGATAATGAGTACAAATTGTGTCACACAACAACCTCTTGATGGTAAGACACTCTGGCCTTCAGATCCTGTAAAAGCAAGGAGCTGGCTTTACTACTCCACAAACAAAGAAAGCTACCACTTATGAAGCTACCACTGGGTCATGTACCATGCTAAACATTCCACATAACTTCATTACACCTTCAGAACACCTGGGCAGAGTGACACGTGCCAGTAATCCCAGAATTTGGGAGGCTGAGGCAGGAGGATTACAATTTGAGAGCAGCCTGGAAGGCAGTAAATTTAAGATCGGCCTGCACTACATATAGCAAGACCCTGTTCAAAACAAAACAAAACAAAAGCCAACCTCCCTACAACCCCAATATTATCCCTGCTTTACAGATGAGAAAATTGAGGCATAAAGAGGTTAAGGAACCTGCCCAAGGTTATTTATGGGCAAGGAAAGGATTAAATAGGCAGCTGGACTCCACAAGCAGTATTCACAACCACAATGCCAGTCACACCATAGGTAGGATGTGTCCAGTGATGAGTTTCCAGTTTCTAGTCTGCAACTTATATTTCCTGGGCTTCATGATAACTCAATAAAATATGCTTGTCCAAACATGTAATTTATAAGCATTTAAACAAGCACACCCATCTCTTTCATAAGAGACTGCCTGATTTACAGAGTAGATTTCTGCCTTCACCTATCCATGCTTACACCTGTGAAAGGTGCCCATGTCTCCTACTTCTCTTCTGGACACTTTTCCATTCATTTGCTTGAAATCCGAAAACAAAAAACAATGGAAGGCAACACCCTTGGCCAACCTGGAGCCATAGTCAGCCGGATTAGAATCAAGTGTCAGCAGTTTTCTTTTCTCTTCCATTACGAAAGATGCACTGCTCTTCAACAAAGTACTTGCTCACCCTATGCTTCTTGAGTAAGCAGAAAACTATACTCCATTTTACTAGTCAGGTCCAGGAAAATGGAACAACAAACTTACTGGACCTCTGCATGTCACTTTTAGATGCACTTTTAGGGAAACATTTTAATAAAAACTTTGGATCTATTTTTCTTTATTTTTAAAACGAAAGGTAAAAATGCTTACCTAGTGTTTTTGGAAATTTAAGTGGGAAAGAGTTATTTACATACATAGTGATTTTTTTTTTTTTTTTTGGTCTTTTTCGTTTTTATCGGTACCAGGGATCGAACTCAGGACTGCCTGCTTGCAAGGCAGGCGCTTATGCCGCTGAGCTAAATCCCCAGCCCCCCATACATAGTGATTTAATTAGAATCTTTGTTTTGAGCTAGGCCAGGTGGCCCATGCCTGTTATCCCAGCATTTGGGAGGCTGAGACAGGAGGATCATGGCACATTTGGGGCCAGCCTGGGCTGTGTAGTGAGACCTTGTCTCAGAAACAAAACCAAAGAAAACCCGAATAAATACAACGCTTATTTTGGTTTCTTAATGTATTCAAGCTAGTCTTTTTCCAAATCATTTCCCTCCCAGTTTCTGAGATGATCGGGTGAGCCAGGCATTTCAAATAGGGAAAATACCCATTCTGGTTGGCCACTAAGGTTTTTCAGTGTGTCCGGATTCTACCTTCTAGCACCCGACCCTTGTTCATTCAGATGAGCTCACCTCACCATACATATGCTCTTGCCAGTACTCATCCCCACCTAGGTCTGGGGCCTTATCCTGCTCCAGCAAGCCCTGCACCCAAGTTCCATCAGGACGTTATGGGGGGAACGAAGCGTGGGAAGGGCATTAGGTCAGAGAGTAGGGCGAAGACGGTGTGTTGTTCTGGAGGTAGGGAAGAAGGCCATCCCAAATGCAATCTCTAGGCACTTAGGGTTCTTAATCTTAACCTCCTGGAAACCGCCATCCTTGAGCAGGATGACCCGGGGGTCTTCCCTGCTCCAGAGGTAATGTCACCGTCGCCCGGCCAGGGTTCGGGAAGCCCCAAGTCGCGCGTCCCTCCGGCCTCCATCCCGCAGAGGTTGCGCTGCCCGCGGGGATGCGACGCCCGAGTCTCGGAGGGAAGGGCGGTGTCCCGCACCCCGGCAACAGAAGGGACCCATACAGAAGGGCCTGGACCGGGGCCGGGGCCGGGGAGGGCGCCTCACCTTCTTCACCGACAGCGAGATGTTCTCCAGGATGCGGTCCTTCACCTCCCGCGGTTCCATGGCGCTGCCACAGCCGCCGCCCCGCCGCCGCTTCCCGCGCCGGGGGCCCGGGGCCGCCGCCAACCGCTGCCGCCGGCCGTGCGGGGGCTCCGTGGTGCCGGCCGCGGGGCCCGGCGCCCGGCCCTCGCCTCGCCCGGGGCCTCGCTCCGCCGCGGCCCGGCGGCTCCCGAGGGCGGGGCGGAGCGGAGAGGAGGCCGGGGCTGCGCGGCGGGCGGCGGCGACAGGAACTGATGTCAGGGGGCGGCGCCGGGACGCCGGGACGCGGGCCGGTACCGGGTGACACCCTGTCCCGCGTCGACCCCGGAGCACCCGGGGTTCCGGCCTCCTCGGCGACCCCGGGCGCCCCAGGTTCCGACCTCCGCAGGCGCCCGGGCGCCCCGGTCCGGCCTCCTCCGCGACCCCGGTGCCCGGGGTTCCGGCCTTCTCGGGGCACCCAGTGACCTCATTCATAAACTAGCTTACTGGGAAAGTAAAGGGTGGGAATCAGACCAAGGAACAGACTGAGAGAATTCAAAGAATGCTACCTGCCTATCTTGTTTAAAAACATGGTGAGGCTCTTGCCTCTCACTTGGATAGTGGGCCATCCTTTTCCCCAAACCCAAAACAACTTCCCGAGACTTACACCCCCATAGTTCCCCACCTGCTCGAGAGAAACCCGAATGCTCCCTGTTGGAGGAAATAGGCGCCTCTCTTGAGGCCCACACTTCTTTGCGTGTGTACTTAAATTCTAATAAGTCCCTTGATGACCCTTTCCTAGCTGGTCCTGAAAGTTCCTTTTTTCTGTAATGGGACTCAGTGAAGCCAGGACTTATTCCACACGTAAGGTGGGTTTTAGGTTTTCCATCTCTGCTTTGGGAACCTCCTTGGACCCTGTCCAGAGCCACTCGGACGCCCCAGGACCCACACAGAACCAGTCCCAGCCTCCTTGGAGACCCCAGCGACGAACGCTGACCCGGACCCCTGTGCTCTTACCCCACTGGTTGTGGACCCTGCACAGTTCCCCAGGACGCTGGGGACCCTTCCACCACCAGTCAGAAACTCTTCTCAGCCCTCCTGTTCTTCCCGGAGTCCCTCAGTGCAGACTCACGTCTCAAGCCTAGGCAGCCTAGAGGCCCCAGTGCTGCAGTGTGGTCCTGCTCCAGAGCCCAGGTCCGCCCTGGCCTCATGGGCCACTCCCAGGTCCTCATGCTCAATGCCAAACTCTAAACATCAGGCCCCTGCTGGTCCCATAGAACACTCACTTCACTTTACTTCCCGACCTAAGGCCCGTTAGGCTTCTTCAGTCCCTTGTGAGGTATCCCGAGGGCCTCAACTCCCTCAGCCCTCAGACATGCAATACCCACTCTCCTCTTCCCCCACACACATCCTACCCAAATTCACCACGTTTACTTCAGACTCCTCAGCGTCACACCCTGTTCTCTTCTCTCATTTGGTCCCCAAATAAAGGATTCCTTAGTCCCTTCTTTTAATTCTTAGACACTACAGCTCTCGATCCTGTCTCCCCCCAGCCTTCTCTTTGGTTACTCAGGCTATCTCATCTCACAGGTTACCCCATAATTGTAGCTGCAACACTTATTCTGTAGTTTATCCAAGAGGTACCCCACCTCATCCTAAAGATCTCTGTGATGGATTAACTAACGGGCAGCTTGTAACACTGAGCTGAAATGAATCAGCGTGGTGCTAGGTGTGGAAGCCCACCTGAGGATTGTTGCCAACAGCATAAGAGCAGATCTGGAGGGGAAGGTGGTGCGCTGTTGATTTTCCTGCAGCATTTTTGTCGTAATGGTTTTCTTGATGTGAACTCAGGTGTTCTCATCATTGGAGGAGCTTGGGTTCTCGCTGTCAATGAGGATGGCTGCAGTTCTCTCTGGGGGAGCCTTGGTCCTTACCTTGAGTGTTGTTTCCTGGCTCCAGTACAGACTTGCTACTTCCCCCACTAACCTTTGGGTCTTCCCAGTACAGATCCTTGATACAGAGTTTGTGAGACATTGTCATGGGCTCTAGGCCTCCAGCTGAATTCATAGAAGACACTGCTGGGCTCTAGGTCTTCAGCTGGACTCATGCAGGACATTGCCATGGGATCCAGGCCCTCAGCTGGATTCTTTGGGTCTCTAGTGTGTGGACAGATCTGCATGCTTCTGCATTTGACTCTGGGTGAATATTAGAAAATAATTCTAGGGGCTGGGGATTTAGCTCAGCGGTATAAGCGCCTGCCTTGCAAGCAGGCAGTTGTGAGTTCGATCCCCAGTACCGACAAAAAGGAAAAAGACAAAAAAAAATAGAAAATAATTCTATAAACTATGTATCCTGTATTAAATCCATTCCCTTGGGGCTGAGGATTTAGCTCAGTGGCATAAGCACCTGCCTTGCAAGCAGGCATTCGTGAGTTCGATCCCCAGTATCAATAAAAAGAAAAAAAGAAAAAAAAATGTGTAAATCCATTCCCTTGTAAATCCTGAGTACAACAATCCCTCCCCATCCTCAGCTTTCCAAGGAGACACCCAAAAGGCTTTTGTTTGTTTGTTTGTTTGTTTACATGCCTGGATAAGAGACAAAATAAACTTAGGAAAAGGAAAAAGAACCACTATTTGAGAAGCTAGGATTGCTGCACTTGTTACCACTTCTGGGTCTAGGTCTGGAGTTCTAACATGAATGATGGTACAGATGGCAAGTGCCGAGTATTACCTATGTGTCAGGTGCTAAACCAAGTGCTTCATACATTTGTCTCCTGTAGGCTCGCGTTACCATTCGAGTGTAGCTGAAGAAATCGAATGGGAATTGAGTAATTTGTCTCAAATCACATTGCAAATGATGGAGATGGAGCTCAGACAGCAAGAAGGAATCTGACTCCAGAAACACTGTGCATGGTTTTTTGGGCCAGGGACCCCTTTACAGCATTGCAGACTATTCTAGGAGGCAACTGCTGGGGCTGGGGGCTTGCCTGGGGAAAGAAGCAACTCAAGGGAAAGCATTTTCCCATTCGTCCTGAATTCAGGAAATAAAGAGATTGATTCCCTGGGTCTGGACAAAGGGGAGAATAAGGGCAGGTGGGGCCACGAGCTGTAGGTGCTGCACAGGAAAACTGAGGGCAGAAGACATATTGCTTTGAATGACAAAAAAATAACCAGTGTCCCAGGGTATCTGTTGGCAGGGGAAAGACTAGTCTACTCATGTACTCTCGTGACATCCTGCTAGGGAGCCCACAGGTCCTGACCTGTTGGATGTAGCACTGACTCGGGACAATCCACTCACCGCAAAGTCCAGCCACTAAGCTTTGTGCTCCTCCCTGCTGTTGAGCACCAAGCCATCTTCTTCTGGGAACCGTCTTCTCCGGAGGACTGTTGATGACATGGGCACATGGCAAACTCCACAGGTGTACTTGTATACCTGCAGTGTCTACTTGGTGGTCTGTCATATAGGAAGGTGATGACATTTCTGCCATATTGTTTTTATCTGCATACATTTTGGAATGGTCCTGTTTCCTGTTCCACATTTTTTTGAGAAAGGATCTCAATATGCAGTTCCTGCTAGGCTTGAATTCACTATATAGCTCAGGCTGGTCTTGACTTGCAGCAATCCTCCTGCCTTGGCCTCCGGAGTGTTGGGACTTTAGTCATACGCCACCACACCTGGCTCTATTTCAAGTTTTACAGTATTCAGAGAACATACAGTCTAACTACCTGCCAGATCCTGCAGGTTTGCTTAGGTATGTGAGGGTGGGAGAAGAGGGGCATCTTGTAGTCTGACAGGATTTCTTGCAGGGAGCCTAAACAGCTCAGTGGTGTAACTGCCTGCTTGGCAAACTCGAGGTTGTGAGTTCAATCCCTGGTACAAAAAAAAAAATTTCTTGCAGGGAAGAAGAGGTCAAGTGCGTGCTCATGTGCAGGTAAGTGCTGCATGCCCAGAGCTCAAACACAGGGTCCACCATGCCCTGAAACTGGGCATGTGGTGCATGCCTGCAAGCCTAGCACTCAGGAGGCTGAAGCAGGTGGGTTGCTACAAACTGGAGACTAGTGTGTGCCATATAGTGAATTCAAGGCCCACCTGAACTATATAGTCTTAAAACACAAGGTGACTCTAGTCAGATGTGATGGTACATTCCTGTAATTCCAGCACTCAGGAGCCTGAGGCAGGAGGTTTGATGCAAGTTTGAGTCCATCTCCTGAGCTACATGGTGCGTTCAAGACCAGCCTGGACTATATAGTGAGACTATCACAATAACAAAACAATGAAACAAACTCAGTGACTCTGAAAAGCACAGGACACTTACCAGTCCTGTTGCTGGGAGTCATTTAAGCTCAAAACTGAAATCCACTCTTGTTTTTTGGTTTGGGGTTTTGTTTGATTTTGTGAGGCAGGGTTTCACTGTGTACTCCAGGTCGCTCTTGAACTCATCCTGTAGCCCAGGCTGGCCTCGAACTCACAGGGATCCTCCTCAGCCTCCCGAGTGCTGGGATTCAGGCATGCACCACCTCGCCCAGCCTGAAACTTGCTCATTTATTGCACAAGACTTTGCCGACCACATGGGAAGTGCACGAGACTCTGAGTCAAAGCACATCAAGAATGAAAAGCCTTGGCTGATTCACGCCAGGGCCTCAGGCAAGTCACTCGGCCTTAGTTCCAGATCATTTTGATGTTTGTTTTGTTTTTGAAACATCAGCCTCCCTTAAATTTTTTTACCACTAAGTGCCAGCAGTTGAAGGGAGAATTGGGGCAAGAAGGCAAGGTAGAGAAAGGTACCAAGAATCCTCTACTCTTCTTTCCAAAGATGTACCGCTTCAGAGAGGAAAAAAGGAAAACATTCCGAAAGCTCATGCTGTTGGAACCTCTAAAAAGTCGTCCTGCAGGGGCTGGGGATTTAGCTCAGTGGCATAAGTACCTACCTTGCAAGCAGGTGCAAGTGAGTTTGATCACCAGTACTGATAAAAAACAAAAAAAAGTCATCCTGCAACGATTATCTAAAGGTGGGCAGGATACAGTGGCAGGTCCCTGTATCCCCACTACTGGGGAGGGTAGGAGGAAGGATCACTGAGCCTGGGAGTTTGAGAACGGCTGGAGCAACATACCAAGACCCCTTCTAAGAAGGTGTGTGGTTCATGGGTAGAGCACTTGCCTGACGCCTGTCAGTTCCAGCCCTGGCTCTTCAGCAAAAAGAAGCAGGGCTGTGTTTTCAGAGGAAGGAGTAAGTGTTTCCTTGGCCACCAGGCCCTTGAAGTTGTTCAACCCCCTGTAGAGACGGTGAAGAGGAGGAGGGGCTGGTTGTACATAACTGCAGTGGCCAGAATTCTCACAGCGTCCCTCCAGTGCCCAGAAGTACAGACGTCTCCAGCTCTGGCTCTGGCTAAGCCAAAGTCA